CCTGCGAAGATGCGACCCTCAGGGAGCAGCAGACGGCATGGATAATTTGTTCGCGGCTGCAAGCTGCAAAGCAGTACACACGTTGCACAGCGCGTCCTTCGCACCGCCCCGCAGGTGCCAGGCGTCGACAGCCTGGCCGCCGTGCAGGGGAGCGTGTACGTAAAATACAATTCGAAGAGCAAGGTGGGCCTGGCTACAGGCAGCCGCTTGCGGGGACCAGCCGGGGCGGCCGCGCGGCGGCCAGGGGCTTGGCTTCAACCCGGCAGCACCTGGAGTGCATGCCGCCCCCAATGCAGCCACTCGACATGGCAACTCATGCGGGTGCAGAGCAAATTTCCTTGAACCATATCCGTCCTTGACATTCAGCACCAGCGCTTTCGCACCTGTCCAGACACCAACACTCCCTCTCACCCCGTCGCCACTGTCAACCCCTGCACCCCGGGCAGGTGTGTTACATGTCTCCCTACCAGGGTCGCGACCGCGGGGTGCTGGTGCAGCTGGCGGCGCTGCAGCTGGGCCACTTTCCCCTGGGCTTTTGGGACGAGGCGCGCGCCAACCCGCCACCGCCAATGGCCTAGCGAGCGCAATGCGTTGAGGCGTGCCACACGCGGGCAGTGATATGGGTTGTTCTCAGAGATTGCGAACTCATTTTTTCTGCTGTTTCAGTGGCCTATTGACCCGCCAGCAGCCTGTATGCTGGCCGTTGAGGGGCACGGCGAAGGAGCACCGGCGACCGGGTGCATTGACGGCACAGCTGCCGTCTAGGCGGCGCAGCCAGTGGCGATTCGAGCAATTGCTGTATGTTTTAGTCGTGGTGCTTGCAGGCGTCTGCCGGTCCTGCAACTACCTATCTGCCGTTGTGTCGACGGTTTACCGTCACAGCAAATGTGGCCAGGTGGACGAGGTTTACTGTGTCAGCCCTTTTCCAATGTTTCTTGCGTTCTCTCCTCTTGCTACTGTGCCACTTATCTGCAGTGCAATTAATATCCCCAAACCACCCAACAGAACGTTGCTGCTGACTTGACCCTCTCTTAGCATTTTGACGAGACTATTCTTTTACGTACTCGGCCGCCGCGCAGTGCCGTGACGGTTGAAAGTTACCACAAGTAAGGCATGTCTGTGACAGTGGAATAGCGAGCATCAAAAGAGACAGGAACAGGAACACACAAGCGCTGACATGGCGCTGAGCTGCCAATCTGACCAGCAACAGCACCCACCCCTTGTAAGGCAGCGCGCCCCACAGTGCGGCACCCGGTCCTTGCCCAGCGCAATATGCCCGTGGGCGCTCTGTCGTCGTTGAGGCATTGGCGCCCAGAATGTACACCAGGACATGCTAATGTCTGACAGGTGGCGCCCTCTCACCGCCTGCCCACGGCCCTTCCGCGGCTGTTCATTCGGAAATGACATCAACCAAAGCCATATGTGCAGCAGCTGACTTGGCCGCCGTGCGCGGGCCTCATGCAGCGCCCCAGACCCCGCTGCGAAATCCACCAAGCGTCACAGGTCGAGCTCCCAAAACACGACGTTCTGCAGCGGGTTGTGGTAGTAAGGTTCTCGCCGCCTGAACCCTGACGACTCGTAGATCTTGTTGGCGGCCTCCAACCGCTGCAACGTGTCCAGCACGACGCTCTTGTACCCAAGCTCCCGCGCCGCTGCGACGGCGGCCACTACCAGCCGGCGCCCGAGCCCCGAGCCGCGGCCGCCCGGGCCGACCCACAGCCGCTTCATTTCGCACACCCGCGCCGGCGCGGCCGGCGCCGCGCCATCGCCGCTGCCGCCGCAGCTGCCCTCCTTAGTCAGCGGCCGGATGGCGACGCAGCCGACAGCTTCGGAGGCCGGGCTGGGGTTTGAGGGCACCAGGCGGGTTGCTAGGATGATGGTGCCGCCGGGGGCGGCGTAGCAGCCGGGCAGGGAGGCTAGCTCCTCTTCAAAGCCCTGGAAACACAGATCTTCCTGCCAGGCGGCCGAGGTTGGGGCGGGGTAGGTCGGCGCAAGGCGCAGGAAAGGGCAGGTCGGAACGACAGGATGAAGTGCACGGTGAGGTGGTCTCCGCAATGCGCTGCCCAGGCTGCAGCCTCGCCGTGCTGCGCGGCTCTGCCGCTGCCACTCGGCGCTGTAGCAACGACGCCCACGGCCCTCGCAGTCTGTGTGCCAAGCAGGGCTGTGGTGGACAGCTGGACCTGGCCAGCAGGGCGACTGCGCATTCAAGGCGGCCCATTTGCCCCTGCAACCAAGCACTGAAACCAAGCAGGTTGGAACAAGCAATCCGGCCAGCAAGGCAGCCAATTAGTGAGCTAAACGAGGAGACTACATCAGCAGCAAACGGTTGCGCCCTGCAGGCCACGTGGGACGTCTCACCCCAAGCCAGTCATTGTACTCTCGGGTAAGCTGGGCAAATGCCAGAAGGTCAGCAGCATTCCCTGCACGCCGGAGCACAAACGCGTCGCTGCCGGCTGCCTCTACCGCTCCGTCAGCATGACAGGCTGGTGGGTCTCTACAAGGATCCATGCGTATGGCGGAGCGGGGCTGGCCGCTACGCTCGGGCGGGTTCGTGGGCGCAGCGACGCTCAAACTTCAGTCATGTGTGCGCGCGGGTGGCGAGCCACTGCGGCTTTCTGAAATCATGACAAGACCGTGCTTTACAATCATGCAAGCGTCAGGGCGCTGCGCTAAGCCAAAAAGTATTCTGACACAGATCAACAGAAGGCAGGTTGGGGTGTGCTGCTTGGCTGACCGCGAATGGCAGACAGTAGACTGCCACTGTACGAGTAGAGCTAGTTGATTTCTGAACGTCCCACGCTTCAGCCCATGCTGCTACCGTACGCAACGGCACGCACTGCACTTTCGTTGCACATGCAGCCAGGCTCCCGGGTTACCTGCTGCACACTAGGTTCCTGTGCTCACTGCACACTGCGGCTAACCGCCATGTAACGGTCGGCTGATTGTGTTTCATCGTATTTAACCCGCTCACGAGTAATGCTTTCCGAGAAACGACCGTTCGTGCTGCGACTCCACCCGCTCCGTATCATGACACTTGACATGCGTAAAGTGTGTATGAAGGTCCAATAGCTTTTCTGAGCCTCACATGGGAGCAGAAGCAAGGCTGTCCTTGTGACCAAGTGGACACAGAATCTCAGCAGCAACCCCCCAAACCAAGTCGACTGGTGGCCGGCGCGCTCCTCTACAGTGCATCCTTGGCAGGCAACGAGAGACTTCGTCATGGGATTGCAATACGATTTTCCGCTCCTGAAGCTGGACAACGTCCATGAATGGAAGAAAGCGGCTTGGGGAGTCCTCTGCGAGAACAACTGCTCCAAGGCCGTGCCATCTCCTCAGACGTGGCTTCAGAACGTCATACACCTGGCTGCGGGCGCTGCGGGCGTGTCGCCATCAGCGGCGGTCAAAGATGAGTCACCAGGAGACAGGGCCACCCCTGAGATGGACGAGAGGGCGCTAGGCCTCCTCATGCGCATGGTGACCGAGCCATACAAGAACATCGTGCTGAATGCCAACAACGCGGCCGAGGCCTGGGCCAACCTCATCGCCGCCGTGCAGCCGTACTCTGCGGCAATGGTCGTGAAGATGGAGGAGCGCTGGGCCCGCACGACCATGGCCAACAACGCCAAGGTGGAGGACCATGTCAACGGGCTGGTGGCGCTGCGCGAGAAGCTGGCGGCGGCCGGCGTTGTCTACAGTGATGAGGCGCTCGTGCGCAAGGTCATGATGACTCTCTCCCGGCGCTTCACCGACTACAAGATGACGCGGCGTGGCGGCATGCCGTCACTGCCCACTCTGCTTTGCGAACTGCTGGTGTACGAGGGCCTCATGACGCACATCTAGACCTCCAAGGCGGCCTCCGTGCGTGGCGGCGCCAAGAGCAGGCCGCGGCCGGAAGTAGAAGCGGACCGGCATGTGCGCTTTCATACTTTGCGGCAAAAGGCTGCCACAAACAGACTGGACGACTTCATTGCCTGCGACTCTTTTGTGACACTCGAGCTTTGTGTGCTGAGTCCAAGCTTGCCGCAGCCTTGTGCCTCAAGGTGATTGAGGTTTGGACAATGGGCCACCAAGTGCCCCGCCTGGTTTCAAAACGCATCAGCAAGGTGTCAAGCCGGCGGAACGGCATGATGCAACCTACTGCATGCCACTGACCTCTCGTGCCGCAGCGGGGTTGAGCTCACGCTCCTTGACCAGTGGCATTGACCGAGTCAAAGTGCCGGGTTCCATGCGAAGTGACAGTCTCATATAGTGTGCTGTATGTAAATGACATTTGGTAACTCGCAAACGGCATCACCGTTTTGAACGCGTCTAGAGCCACATGGGCAAGGAGTGCAACTCTGCAACGTCCGTGTTATGTGCTCCATGATGGCTTGCAAGGGTTGTGTACTTCTATTCAACCAAAGTCATGCAGTGTACTGCCTTGCATTCAAAATCAGAAGCCGAGTGTGATGGCAGCCAATGTCAGGTTTTGCGTGTCAGGGGAGGCTGACCTCCAGAAGACATTGCATACGTGCCAGCGAGCGCCAACTCCACATCCATGAACCCGTTTCACAAAAAAATGTTGGGTATGTGAAGTTGAACCTGGCAACCATGTGGGCATGGGCGGCAGTCCATGATTCAAGCATCTCCATCCCCTGCCTTTACCTGAGCTTCATGCACACGCGCATGACACACGGCTCGCACTTTCGGAGCAACCAGAGCGAGCGCATACTGCATGGTCCGCACATCCTCACATGCACAGCTGACAGGCCACCGGCACACTTGCATAGCTGCAGTTTTGGAGCTTCACAACAGATTTTTGAGAGCTGGTCTCTCTCCACAAGAGCAGGTTGCTGGCATTGGCCAATGGACTGCATTCCCGAATTGCGACAGCAATGAGGGACACCGATCTGGAGCGGGGGCAGGGGCTTTTAGTAAGCGAGGTCACTCGTGTCACTCGTGCTGCACGAGCCCGCTCAGCGCAGCCCTCCGATAGCTTTAGGCTTGCAAAAATTTTAATTCGTTATATTAGCTGGCGAACGGGTGTTTGACGCGTGAACGAGTGCGCTGGGATGGAGGGGTGTGTCAGCATCGCTGCATGCGGCTGCCTTGCTGCTTCTCGAACGCAAGTTTCTTGTGTGCTCTTACTTGTCAACTCTCTGCTGCTGTTGTCGTTACGTTGCAATGGCTTCCTCTGGTGGTTGTTCTGGTACAACGCAGACGGGCACGCGGTGTGGGTCTCTTGTACTGATCGCCCGCAATCGCCAAATCCAGTTGTGCACTCGCTGCCGTTGTGCATCTCGCGGATGCACAGCACACCCAGCGCGTGCAGCAGATGCAGCGCGTGCCGCGCACGCAAGCAATGCGCTGCCAGCGGCCCAGGTGCATGGATGTGCAAGGACTGCTGCGGGCGTACACTGCGGCCTTCCGCTGCACCCGTGTTGTTCCCGTCAGTAATGGGCAGCGTGCCGCCGTGCGTCCGGCGGGTGCTTAGTGCCCCTGCAAGCACCTGCTGAACACCAGCAGCTAGCGGAACGGCTGCTTCGCGGGCCAGCAGGCGCGCGTTGCAGGATCGTGATGACCGCCAGCAGCAACGGAACACCAGAGCCATGTTGGACCAGCATGCAGTGATGGTCCTGTGGGTGAAGTGCAGTGGGCAGCGACAGCGGAGGCCACGAGGACTGCCGAAGCAGCTGCGCAAGCCAACCCAGACTTGCCGGAAGGGTTAGGATTGTTACAAGATCCCGCGGCCGCCTGCTCTTGGAGCCATCCAGGCTCATGAGATGTGGCGTTGTAGCACCAGCATTGTGTGCATGTAATTCAAGTGGCTACCATCTGCCGTTCAAAGCAGGCGTGCACGAAGGCCCCAATTGTGTGCAGGCCTGCACTGCCACACAGGCGTGCAGGCGACCATGTGCAGGCACGTTCACAAACAAGGGTGTGAAGCGCGGTGCGTCATGATTGAACTTGTCGGCTGTCCGCCCTCAGCGCCAACGCGCATGCCTAGAGCTTGGGCGCCAGCGCGCTGTCGGGCGGCGCGCTGGCACCCCGCATCACTGAGGCAGGCGGTGTGGGCGCAGAGGGTGGACAGCCGCCAAGCTCAAACAAAGGGCAGGACGGGCACGGGGCGCGGGATGTGCCCGCTCGACTGCGCCAGAGTGTTCGGCGTGCAGGCGGCTGCACTTGACACCCCGTTCACCAAGCAGCCGGCTTGTGATGCTCGTGCGGAGTGCAGCGTGCGGAACGAGCTGTGGGCCGCGGCTCCGTGGTTCTGCTGTGCAGTCTGCGAGTAGCTTCAGCCTTTTGGAGCTTTCATGCCTTTGGCATCGCTGCCAGGGCTGGCGCTTCCTGACGCAGCGCAGCCTGCAACAGCGCATATACCCGCAGTGGTTATACAGTTGTGCGGCATGACGGCAGGCGCTACTGCTTATCGCCTACGGGGATGCATGGTGAGCTGTCGGCTTGGGTGGTGCTGGGAGGCAGGAGTGCACTGTGCGTACGCAACCCTGCGGGCGGTGCATCACACCATGACCTGATTTGCCGTAAGGCTGATTCTGCCTCCATAACAACCTTGATGTGAACGCAGATGTGCCCGAGCGGTGTGCCTCAATGGAGCTGGCCGCACATGAGTATGCGGTGTGCGGTATGCAGCATCGCATGATCAAGGCGCAACATGGCTAGCTGCGGGTGGGGTGTGTTTGATGCCATGTGCAGGTGCGCCGCGGCGGCTGTTGGCGTACACGGCAGCTGTGGCTGCGGCTTAGGCTACACCTGCCCCTTCTTGTGTGTTGGGATTGCCAGTCGTTTATACATGCAGTGTCCATCACCATGCTGCTTTGCCCCGCAGCGTTCTGCTGAGCAATTTCAGCTCCATGCTGCTGTCCGTTTCCTGAGGCCACGGAAGGGGCCGCCGCCAGGCTCACATCAGCTCGCGATGCGCGGCCAGGTATTGCTGTTTCCCGCGCCCGGCTCAATTGCCACGCAGCGCCTGTTCCCGGCAAGGGTTGATGAGCTGCCAGAGCACATCACGATCGTGCGGCTTGTCGCGACCAGCAATATTGATGATCCTGCCATTGCGGCAGCTAGCAGCTTGGGCGGCGTGCCGTCGTGCAGGCTGTGCTGGCTGCATTAGACACAAGCGCAACAGCGGCAGCTTCAGCAATAATGGACGGCGACCGCGCCGCCAACGGCACAGTGCGGTTCGGCACCACGGCGAAGGCCGCAGCAGCCGCCGGTGCTGCAGCAGCGGCCGCTGTCCCCCACTTGCTGGCACACCTCCAATCATGTCGAACTCATGCTGCCAGAGGCCAGAGCGCGCCGTTCCCAGACTCTTCCAGTTTGCAACAGGCACGTGCCCGCCGCCGCCGCCATGTGGGCTGGGTGCTGCCCGCGACGCAGGCGGTCGCGGGCCTTTCAAGCGCGCCTGGACGGTCACGCTTTTGCGCCGCAGCGACCGGCGCCATGCACGGGAGGCGTGCTTCGTGCTGGCCCTACAGAACGTCATGCAGACCCACGCAGCGCATCACGCCAGCCAAGTTCACTTGCGCGCGAGCTGGGCGGCCCGCGAGGCCTGCTGTGCAAAGGCTTGGCTGAGGAGGACGTGCAGATGGCGCTTGAGTTGCTGCAAAGCGGCCTGCGCCGAGGCGAGCGTGCGCGCCAGCTGTCATAGGCGTTGCCGCAGGCCCCCGCCCTGTACCTGTTTCCGGCAGCCAGCAGCCAGGTGGTGGGCAGCCCAGGCTTGATCAGGTTGCTGCGTAGCCGTGGGATTGCCGTATAGCCAGTCGGCTTGGTTGGCGCAATGGTCAACGTGAACCTCACCGAATGGCAGTCTCGGTTTGCTGCCAGCCTAGCGGGCGCCGAGTATGCATGCAGCGTGCCTGAGGGTGTGCCCGATGCGCGTTAACCGCTGCCTGCTGCGCTCTGGTGCTGGCAGTGCGCATCAGCGCCGCAGCGGCGACAATGTTTCATTGCACCGACGATGCGCGCAGTCGTCCATGTCTGCTTGGTTTGGAACCTGGCGAAGCAGCGCCAGGTGGACCCCGACTGGTTGTTCGATCGCGTGAACGGGTTCGCGTTCGGGTACAAAACCAGCGGCCGCGGCGCAATCCATGCGCACGGGACCATGACCTTAGCAGATGCGCTGCCGCCGCGCTTGAGGCGGCTGCAGGTTGACGGAGGCGAGGACTACGTGCGGTACCTAGAGGCGCTGCAGGGGCAGTCTTTGCCGGGCGGGCTCGCGCTTTTGCTGGGGACAGCCGTGAGCCAGGAAACAGCTGGGGGCTCCCACTGGGCGAAGAGGACCGAGCAAAGCAGCAAGCCAGGGCAGACTTGGTTGGGACCGCTGGCAGCCACGCGTGGATGGTAGCGACCGCAGCTGTCACACCTTTATACTGAGAGCGCAGCTGCGGCAGCTCACGAGCCACCGCTGAAGGAGGCTCCAGGGCCAGCCTGAATTTGGCTACAGCGCGCCTGCATCGCAAGCTGCAGGTGCATCGCCACACAGAGACTTGTGGGAAGCACGGCCGCCTTGGCGATGATTGCGCCTGCCACACAGCGTCGCCCGGCTTGCGGCGAGCGCGCACGGCGTTCAGCGCCGGCACAGGCTGTGTGCAGCTGAGACGGGACTGCAATACATGCGACTGATGGCCTCCCCGCCAGCAATGTTGGCTGGCCCTCGGCTGCAACATGGCCTTGTACCTGTTTTGCATCAGCGCCAGGCATGACAGGAACATGGCCTTATGGCGGCGTTCAAGGCAGATGTGCTCCAGGCTGTGAATGGGCCCGAGGAGTTGCCTGTAATGACAACGCTTGCCAAGAACGTCGCCACTGGCCGGGCGATGGCGTGCTGGCCAGCTGAGCTCAGGCTCCAGGTGGTCCTTCATATATTTGCTAGATCCCTGTTGCTGCTGTTCCTCAAGTGGAGCCTGATGTAACAGTGCTGATGTGATGCAGCTGCAACTGTCATGGTGGATGCACCGGCACGTGTTGCGTTGTCTGTCATCGCAATTCGGGAGCGCCGTGGGCCGAAGGCCACGCGGCCTTTATTGGCATTGACGGATTGACTGCAGCTGCCAACCAGCACATGTCACTCGAGTCACCCGCCGATATTCAGTCATTCCCTTTAGCAGGGATCCAGGCCTGACACACGAATAATTCGGTGTTTATGATAATAATGCAGACCGCGAGGTGCTGAGTCCAACGAGATCAGCACTAGTGTATCGCGTCGGATCGTGCTCCTCATTACCAGGAGCGTTGGTTCCTCACAACCCGGGTCCATAAAATGTGATGTTCCAATTATTCAGACAACTAGCTGCAGTGTCTAGCCTGCACGGGGGCCGCGAGCGCAGCAGGAGCAACATCTGACCACAGCAGGCGCTTTCGGCGCACAAATGGCGAACGGCAACGGCGAAGATGAGCTGGCCATGGAGGTGGAGGCGCTTAGCTATACCTACCCCGAAATAGAAATTGAGATGTTTGAGCCGAGCAACAGCGTAGGCACGGAAGCCAGCCCCGCCGCGGCCGCCGCCCTGCGCATCGACCTACGCCCGCGCGCCGCGCGCCAGGCGTTCGTCGCCGCGGCGCTGCGCCTCATGGCGCCGCGCGGCTGCCCGACGGCTTCTCCCCGTGGCATCGAGCCTCAGGGCCTCGGGGACGCGCGGGAGGCGGCACTGCTGGCGCGGCTGGCGGCAGAGGCACAAGATCTTATTGCTGGCCCCTGCCTCGGCCAGCTGATCGAGCTCTGCCAGGATCTGCTGTCCGACGCCAATGCCCCTGAAGGTGCGCAGTCGTGGGTAACGTCATGGCCAGACGTCGAGCTCCCTCGCCTGCAGCTCCTCTGCGGCTGCATGCGGTGGCCGCGACACCCTGCTGGCTGTCCGACCACAGTGGTCGACGCCTGATCGTGGATCCACCAGTTGTTGTCCCAAAGTCAAAGAGACGGCCCACCCCATGCTGCCATGCAGGGCACTGCGCAATCTGCCTGTTCGAAATGGAGCCCGGCCCGGACGACCCAGAGGACAGCAGCAGCTGCGACGGCTGCGCTGGCGTGCCCTGCCGGCGCTGGCGCGGCTGACGTGCTTCCACAGCTTTCACACGTGAGCAAACGTTTGCGACGGGCATCAAAGATGTAATAAGCACTTCTTGCTGTCTGAATTGGTTGATTGAAACAATCAGAGTTTTGCAGAGGCCGCCACCCTCAACCTGTGCTGCAGCTGTCCATAATGCTGGACGTGTCTCCGCATCTCATCCGCTCCAATTCCGCCGGCCGCGGCGCAGGCCATGCTTCAAGCGTTCGTGGGCATTTGAGCAGGCGTCCTGCGCGCTGCAGCAGCGGGAGTTGGCGGCGCTGGCACAGGTGCGCGGGCGCGCGCGACCTGCCGTGGCACGGGACCCTGGTGGCGCAACTGACATGGCGTATCTTTTGCAGACACAACACGACGCGTTTGAATAGTGCCAGCGCAGGAGTGCCTGCTACAGCACCTCATGGACGTGAGCTACACGCGTTGGGAGTGTGCGCCGTTGAAAGCTTCGGCATCAACACAGCAGCGGCAGGGGCGCACACGCATTGCCTGCTGCAACAAGCGCCCCACAACACCACAGCCTGCGGCCCCCTTCCCCGCCGCGCTCCAGGAGGGGGCCACGTCATCGATAGGTTTGTGCGCTCAACAGGCCACCGCCAGAGCCGCATGCTGCACAAGGCAGCAGCCTTCTCAGCAGCGGCACGATGGGCAGGAGCCAGAGCCGCCGCCATCGTGCGTACTCGTGACCGCCGCCGCCGCTGCCACCACCCGGCTGCTTGCACCCGGCAGCCGTGATGCGCGAGCGGCCATTGGCAGTCGTTGCGCCTGAAATCGAAAACGTCAGGGGTCAGAGCGACGAGGCGGCCGGTGGGGCATGCCGCTGTGCGACGCGTTTTCCCCCTCTGGGACCCTGGCTGGCGGCAAGCCCGGGCAGCTGGGAGGCTGCGGCAGTGTTGGGGTTGGTGACCGAGCGCACGGCGAGCTTGCGCGCACCTGCTGCCACCGATGAAGCGCAGCCGCACCCGTGCGCTGCGGGGCCGCCTCGCCTCGGCCGCAAGCAGTCCGGCTTGAGGCAGTGGCAATTGTCAGCCTGGGACATCCCGCGGCGTGCCCATCAGCGTGCCACGCTCCCAGCAGGCGAGTTGCAGCTGCCGTGCGTCTGCATCTGCTGCTGCTGCTGCGTCTGCTGCTGCTGCTGCTGCTGCTGCTGCTGCTGCTGCTGCTGCTGACGAGCAGCTGCTGCTTCTGCTGCTGCTGCTGCTGCTGCTGTGCCCGCTGCTGCTGCTGCCGTGCCCGCTGCTGCTTGTTCTGCCACGTGTGCGCCGTCAGCTGCTCCTGCTGGTGGTGATGCTGCTGCTGGTGCTGACAAGAAGTTGTTGCTGCTGCTGTTGCTGCTGCTGTTTGTTGCGCTGGGCAGCGTGTAGGTGCATCCCGCTGGGCAGCGCGGCGGACGGGAACACAGAGGGGGGCAAGCAGGGGCCGCACGTGCCACTCCGACAATGGCGCCGGCGCCACTGCGGCCTGACCCTCCTTGACGCTCTCCTGAACACGCGCGCCCTGCCACTTGCAGCACCCCACCCCAAACATACCCCACCTCAACCCTCT